ACTGAGCTGCACGCTACAACATCGTGTGTGATCTTGCTTGCTGGTCGTGGATTGACTGAGTCTTGATTACCGGTTAAAATGTTGCTCTTTTGGCGTTGGTAATTTATATTTGGAACTGAGTAACGCCGCAACGTCGCCAGCAGAAACCTGCTCTCTCGAAGTTGATGGTTGCGCCGGGCTCCATAGTAATCGCTCATTTTACTGCTGGTGGATCTTCTGAGAGCCCTTCAAGCCGGGCCTTCAAAGTTTATAAAACTCAGTTTCCAGGTGGTCAACATACATTAAGTCCTCCCAATCGTAGTATTCCATGTGATGTACATCTAACACGCCAAAAATGCTGCCTGACGATTTGAACCGGACAGAAATAGCAGACGAAAATGTGTTTACAAAACAAAAATAGTTCATATCGACCGAGAAAATACCAAAAACATTATTGCATGGGTGATATGCAAATTAGTTTTTGTCAAAATAAGTGACTGGCTAAAAGTATCATTACTGATGTTCAAATTTCATTTCACTCGGCAAGTATATTCATGTACCCCAAGAGTAAAATATCGTACTTCTAAATATTGTTTATTTCTGCTATGTTTCGAAAAACGGTACTCCTGAAGGAACTACTTAGTTTAATCTGAGCCCTCATTCGCATATGAGGTGTGGAAATACCGATTTTGATTTTAGGGTCGAATCAAAATAAACTGCAGTACATATGTAATAATATTTGTAATATAATTATTAAAGAAATTATTTAAAATTATAATTGAAACATCATTTGCCGAAATTAGTTATAACAGTATTTCACATTCTCTAAAAATGCTAATTTTATATTGTCGTATTTCAATTACCATATACATATACATGTATGTGTATTTACAAATATGAGGATACACAATATGTTTAATCTGAGCCCTCATTCGCATATGAGGTGTGGAAATACCGATTTTGATTTTAGGGTCGAATCAAAATAAACTGCAGTACATATGTAATAATATTTGTAATATAATTATTAAAGAAATTATTTAAAATTATAATTGAAACATCATTTGCCGAAATTAGTTATAACAGTATTTCACATTCTCTAAAAATGCTAATTTTATATTGTCGTATTTCAATTACCATATACATATACATGTATGTGTATTTACAAATATGAGGATACACAATATGTTTAATCTGAGCCCTCATTCGCATATGAGGTGTGGAAATACCGATTTTGATTTCAGGGTCGAATCAAAATAAACTGCAGTACATATGTAATAATATTTGTAATATAATTATTAAAGAAATTATTTAAAATTGTAATTGAAACATCATTTGCCGAAATTAGTTATAACAGTATTTCTCATTCTCTAAAAAATGCTAATTTTATATGGTCGTATTTCAATTACCATATACATATACATGTATGTGTATTTATAAATATGAGGATACACAATATGTTCTAAATATGGTCATCAATCAGATAATTTGATTACTACATCTTATTTAGAATATTTAATCAATAACAGAACTAACAAATAAATCATAACCCATTGACAGTCTATATGGTCAGGAGTATCAAGTATTTCTGTCAAATGGATCTCTATTCATATTCTGTACTTAAAGTTCCAGCATATTGACAAAAAATATTTAAAAAGAAAAATCAGGAAGTAAGATACATCCGGGCATTATCTGTTGTTTACTATTTCCATTTCAATATTTTCTTTTTTCTATTGGTACATAACATAATACAGGGAATATTCAGAACTCGCCATTCTCCCATATCGCGTCCTACCAGCCCATTAAAAGAAGGGTGTACTAAAACCATACTTACCTATGTTATGTATGTTATACATTCTTAGTTATTTAGAATAATTTTATGAAAAATATTTCGATCAAATTACATATCGTTCTGTTAAAATACATATGTTTTAAAATAAGCTTTGCTGTATTAATTCTATACACGTTACTCCCGTTATTTTGACAAGAAACATACATGCTGGTAACAATTATGTATTTGAATGAATGTAGAGGTCTATATAAATATTTATTAAACCACTTCATGTCTGCAAAACAACATATATATGAGATAATGTATGCATCTTATAAAAACAATTCAGGATGTTTGAAAACAAGAAGTAAGTATTTGTGATGCTCAGTTACTGCATTTTCACTGACATTTAGCAAAATGATGGATTAAACTGTATATTGGAAATGTGTTTGTATTTATTTTTGTTTTCCTCAATAAAAATGTCAAAAAGCGGTATGCAAATTAATAAAATTGAAAATACAATATTTAGCCTTTTTAATTTGAAAAAAATAATACTATGATTTGTCTATAATAAATTGATTGCTATCGAATGCTGACAATCTTTGATGGAGAGTTTTGGGGTTTACAGAAAATGGGAAAAACACAACAATTCAAATATTTCGGTCGGCATGCATTTCAATAGGAAATTTTTCAACCATTTTGGACGGTTTTAATAATATGCACCATCACATCAACATCACTACATCCGGGAAAAAGAAATAGTATTTCAGTTTTGACTGTTTATT